GGAAAGTTCTCGCTTCGTGATTTGTTCAATACTTCGAACGCGGCTCGAGTCAGTCCCGACCATCTGTCGAAGCCTCGTGCTGCGGGCTCTCGAACTTCGCGCCATCACTTCTCATTGGTCAGTGTTTTTCGTTAATAACTCGTAAACAAAGCCGCGGATTGCATTTTAGCAAAGGAAAAAGTTACTTCAAATGACCTCAGCTACCCCTCATTTTCGGCTGTTAAAGTAATTGTGGAACACTCTGTATATACATATATCTCTCGTATAAGACATTTTTCTTGACTTACAGAGAAATTTTGTTATGGAAGGAGGTGCTATGGTTCTCGCGGATGGCGGTGTCGTTTGCATAGATGAATTTGATAAAATGAAAGAGGATGACAGAGTTGCGATACATGAAGCTATGGAACAACAAACAATATCAATCGCGAAAGCAGGAATTACTACAACATTAAATACTCGGTGTTCCGTTCTGGCTGCAGCGAATTCCATATTTGGTCGTTGGGACGATATAAAGGGAGAAGAGAATATAGATTTCATGCCAACTATATTGTCACGTTTTGATATGATATTTATTGTTAAAGACGAGCACGAGCAAAATAGAGACGTAACAATGGCGAAACACGTGATGAGTCTTCATACTAATGCTAATCAAGTTACAGAACAGTTTGCGGAAGGGGAGTTGCCGCTGCATATATTGAAAAAATATATTCACTACTGCAGAACGTAAGATCCTGTTATTTTCAGAATACTAGACAGTTACGTTCTCTATTTTGGATTAATTTCTGTGCGCCCCCTACAGACGCTGTGGTCCGAGGCTTAGTAAAGAAGCAGGAGAGAAACTGAAGAATCGTTATGTAGTAATGCGAGCTAGCACGAGAGAACACGAAAAGGATACTGAGAAGAGACTATCTATCCCCATAACAGTACGTCAGTTGGAAGCTGTTATAAGAATTTCAGAATCGCTGGCAAAAATGCAGTTAAAGGCCTTTGCCACCGAAGTCCATGTCAACGAAGCTCTGAGACTGTTTCAAATCTCAACTTTGGATGCTGCAATGTCTGGATCGCTAGCTGGTAATCTACATAAAATTAAACAATTAGAATGTACACACATATCTTATGCGTTGTTTTCTTTTGTATGAAATTTTTATATTTATCTATAAATATAAATGTCCGAACAGGAGCGGAAGGATTTACCTCGGACGAAGATCATGAGATGTTATCTCGCATCGAGAAACAACTGAAACGTAGATTTCCTGTTGGGAATCAAGTGTCTGAGCAGAACGTCGTCAAAGATTTTGTAAAGCAAGCATATCCGGAACGTGCTGTTTATAAAGTGATACACACGATGATACGTCGTGGAGAACTTCAGCATCGTATGCAACGTAAAATGTTGTATAGGCTGCATTGAAATGTAATGACGTTTTTTTCTTTTTTTGTTATTTCATGTACCGTATATTCTTATTTTATTATAATGACATTGTGCATTTATGCGTTATTACGTATTTCCCATTTTGTACTGTATTTCGTCAGATTGCAATGTATAATTATACATAAATATAAAGAGACACTACATACGTTTCTTTTCAGTTACGATGCCAGTTCATCTTTGAATGGATATTGCGGATGTTTCTCAACTCTGAAAGGATCAAGTTAGAAAACATAATATTACTATGCTTTTGTGACGAATAAGATGTATTTTATAAAAGACTCACCCGTTAAAGAATAAGAAGTTGAAAATTCTTCCACGAGGACCCATATCTAAAGTTCTCAACAATTTCACGTCGTCCTCGTTTAATGCAAAATCGAATAGTTCAATGTTCGCTCTGACTCTTTCTGGGGACGCGCTTTTCGGAATCACAACGACGCCCAACTGTAGCAGGTAACGCAATAAAATTTGTGCCGCTGTACGCTTGTAATCTGTGCTCAGCTTTTCTACGACAGGATGCCGGAAAAGGCTTGGAAATTCTGCGATATCAACATTGTATTTCGTTTTAAAGTGCAGTTTGGCTCCTGGTGACGCGAGTGGACTGTAGGCTGTTACGATAATGTTGTGCGTTTTGCACAATTCTCTCAGTGAATTTTGTTGCAAATAGGCATGTAGTTCTATCTAGTAATAGTCGCAGAATCATATATCAATAATTTGTCTTTCAGAATTTGCTCTGTTTAACACTTACTTGTAAGTTACTCGGTTTAATTTGTGCATTCTCCCATATACTTAATACTTGTTTCTCATTGAAGTTACTCAAACCTATGGATCTTGTACGACCTTTCCTCACTTGTTCTTCCATTTCCTATAAGTATTCAAAGATTATAGTATACGTCTATGAAATTACTTTGCTAATGTATGCTGTTCATGAATTCTTTTCGATACTAGACCTTCCACACCGAAACAGGGTCTGTATCAAGATCTAAGACAAAACTTCCATCTGCACGAGTAGCTGGGACATAAGCGGATTCATCCCTTTGAAAAGCAAAAGGCATGTGAATTAAGTACATGTCCAAATAATCCAATCCAAGTTTTTCCAATGACATACGAATAAATTTGTCCACTTCTGATGGTCGATTGCCGTAGTTGGGTAACTGAAAAGATATAATTAATCGTACTTTTAATTTACATAAAATATTTATTTCTCTAACGTTTCATAGATATCACCTTCGAAGTGATAAAGAGATCCTCTCGTTTTCCACCTTTTGCAAACCACTTTTTTAATACTGCTCCAATTGCTTCTTCATTATTGTAATTAAATGCGGTATCGATGTGTTTGTAACCAGCATCTAAAGCAGTTGTTGCAGCATTTTCAATTTCTTCCGGTTTAGCCTGTGGCGCATGATAATATTTGGTGACACGGTTCCAACATTTTTTATTATTTTTTGAAACTAACACACAATAGTTTAAAAATAGGGTTTTAATGTTTAACATTAAATCACCTGCCATGTGCCCAAGCCTACAGTGGGCATATCGTATCCGGATAACAATCGAAACGACCTCATTGTTTCTTTCTTTGACCGAGCCGGTGCTGCAAAGGATACTTCTGAATATCAATCTAAATAATATGTAATAATGCGGTTCTTACTGTCAAGGCTTCCAAGTATAAGCAATGTTCTGGTGGAATTATTTTCCCAATGTTTCGCAAGCATTGCAGCTAGCTTAATATAGCGAAGCCTGTTCGCATTCCAATTCGTTGCTTACCAATTAACATACCGGTATCGGTGTGACTTTTAGCCCCGACGAAGCTAGCTGCAATATCTTGTGAAACGTTGGGAAAATAATTGGACAAGTAATTCCACCAGGACATGGCTTATACCCGAAAGTCTTGAAAATAAGAACTGTACGATGCCAGACCATGGAAGCCTTAAATCTCTAATATTTAATAATTTTATTACCAACTATTACAAGATTTCTATTACTTTAATGGTGACCATATAGTATTATTTGCAGTTAATTCAAGAATTAACTACTTACTGGTGATGCTATTTAAATACAAAATCAATTTCTAAAGTTAGATCAGCCTTGTACTGTTCCGAATACATAAGTCCGCGTTTGTAGAGAAATAGGGGTAGATAGCTGTATACATATATCTCGGGAAGACGCGTATTGATCTGTAGCATATTTTCTATGTAGCGTCGATTTCAATGTTCGTTATTATCATTGTTTATAAAGTGGAATTTTGTATCTTTTAAATTAAAATAACTTCATTTTAAATTATCGGTTTAAATTACCCGGTTCGGTTGTGACTCGTGAAGCTCTTGTTTAACATATCAAATTAATTAATCGCTCCGTCGAGCATTTATAAAATATTCGCAAGGTTGTTAACTATGCAAATAATAAAGTTCACGAAATTACATTAACTAAATTTAATACTTACAGAACGATAAAAGGGGGTGTAGTTGTTGATGTCGTTATTCGTTACAGAAAAACATATGACAAATTGATATTTTATGTTTCATTGGTACATATGTACATTGATGTTTAAAGCAAACGCTGTCGATATTTAATCGTATTTTTAATATACATGATTAATTCTAAAAGATCTTTTATGAGATATATAATTTTAAGAACAAATCAATACTTATAACGTGCAGACAAAAGATTCAAAACGTAGAATGATCGTTATCGCGATTTAAAGATCTACTCGGCGAAGTTATCAATTCCAATAAATGTCCTAAATCGATGTCCTTTTTATAATTTTTGATGATTTTTTTTTTATTAAGAATAGCTTTTTGGTTCTCCTCCAGATAATTGTTGGTAAACATTAATGGTAAAGAAGTGTTGTAACAAACAAGTATTGTAACATATTTCATAGAAATGCTTGTACGTTCTTTTGGGACACGGGAATATTTGAAAAGCGTGCAGTATTTGAAACGTGATGTATAGTGGGGAGAGCTGTTTAATAAATATGTGTACATAATCTTGTGAATTGAGTATATTCTTTACCAGAAAGGTTACTTTTATCGTGTCACATATACGATTGAATATTTATACACGTTCAAAACAAATTTTATTGTTATTTCGTACAGTCGTACGAAATATTAAAAAGTACGAGTAGTAGTAACAAATTATGTAGTTCTGAAGCTAGGTTCATGGTATACAAACTCCGAACGCATACACACTCGATATTTGTTACCAGGAATGTTACGAGAGTTTCATCTCTCCAAGGATAGATACTCTGTGACTGACAGAGCTTCATGCCTTGTATCGTATGCCTTGTAAATTATGTACATATGTATACATATGTACGTACAAGTTTAATTCAAATTCAAACGTGTGTTTGATTACATTTTCAGCTAACATGAAAACACTGTTATACTCGTTCGTAGTTAAGTATCAAAACATTTTACCGTAATTAATGACTTAATGATTTGTATCTTCGTAGTGAAAACATGTTGATTTACGATGTTCTGCACAAAGAAACAGTGTATCATTCGGTTGTCAACGATCTTCGGAATTACGGGGTTAAGTACCGATTCAAGAAGAGCATGTTCAAAACTGAATTGCTCGAGGGAAGTAAGCAAATTTCGAAGAAAATATTCAAAACCCCCCTGTCTTATCAATCGTTGGATGTCGTGAACCTGTCGTCAGGTGGTATTGTTCATGTGCCGGTTTTTGTTAGCCGAGCGGCTGCTTTTTTAGAGAATTATGCTACACAGGAAGGATTATTTAGAAAAGCAGGGTCACAGCTTCGCCAGAAAGAGTTGATTGCTCGCTTGGATAACGGTGGAACCTTGGGAGAAAAGCATCATGCGATCGATGTGGCTAATTGTTTGAAAACATTTTTTCGAGATTTACCAGAACCATTGATTCCTCGCACGTACCACGATTTGTTCGTACACTGTGCTATGCTCAAAGCTTACAGAGTGGAAGCATTATTATTGGCTTGTATTCTTTTACCACCGCATCATCTTAACACCTTGGCATTTTTTATGGAATTCCTACGAAAAATATCGCTGTACGAGAAACAAAATAAAATGGGCATCGATAACTTGGCGAAAGTAATTGGACCAAATATAATGCCTCTGCAAGAAACTACTATGTCTGCTGTGCAGATGCGTCTTGAATTACATTTGATCGTTGTAAAGGTAACTAGATTTCTTCCCAAATGTAGTACGGTATAAAAAAAGTTGTACATATATGTTACATACATATAGTTTGTAAACATCACTACAGACTTTAATTGAGAATGCCGAGAGTATCGGTGTCTTACCGGTTCATATAGCGCGAGCCATTTCAATGGAAACAATTGGAAGTACTGATAATGAGTTAGACGTGTCTGATAGTCATTCACGTTTTAAGTCAAGGAAAAAGAAACATCGCAGTGGAAGCCTTACACGTAAGCCACACCTAAGTGCCTCCAACCTCAATCTAAGTATGTCTGTAAATCTGTTAATAGTAATTTATTCTTTGTTTTACTAACATTAATGACATGGAAATTTAACTAAAACAAAATGCGATCGATAGTTGGTCTTAATATTCTTTTAGCTAACATATTAATGAAATCGCTTAATCAATTAATGTAACATCGTGCGGATGCAATCGTTTTGTATATATGTAATTTCTTGCTATAGGAATGTTTAATGGTTTAAAGAAGATGGTTGGCAAAAGTATTGTACCTGACGAAAGCAATGTATCAGATAACCAACGGGTTCCTGAAAATTATGATTCAACTAGCGCATCGACTGCTAAACCCGCGAAGAAAAGGAAAGTAGGTGAACGACCGGATCTGTCGAATACAAAGAAAAAGTGTGTACTAAAATGTACATTGTTATTTGAAATCTTGGAACATTGCTTAATAGTCCGCGTGTTTAGCGAATGCTTAACAATATGTATGTACTAGTATATGCGTATCGATTAAACGTTTGTTATGTATTCTTTGTCGTAGGAGAGTTGTAGATAAGGTGGACAAATCTAAAAAACTGCGACTTAGTTTGGATCGTTTTGTACCAAGGAAACCGGTAAGAACATATCTCTGTTATTTTTGTAATTATACTCGCACGATTAATACATTTGGCGTACATAATATCTGTATATTTTCCAGAAAACTGTCGATGAAAATCGAGAATCTGACACAAAACATTTTGATACCTACGTAGAACGCCGTTGGAGTTCTGTACCCAATACATGCGATTCGCAAAAAAAGTATCGGCCGTACAGCGACGACGCGTCGCAATTAAAATTAATTTTAAAAGACAATGAAGTAACGAGCGAACTCCATAAGAAATACAACGATTTATTCGTTGACGCGGATGTTAATTTATCGGATGATAGTGACGAGCAGGTCTTGTTAACGAAAGAAGACGATATTAATATTAGCAAATGTTCTAGCTCGGATGAGTTGAAAGTGTTAGATAACTTTTCGTACCCATCGAGGACAAGATTAACTTTAAATAACTTTAAAACGTTTTCGCACATCGAGGTCTCGTCCGTGAACAATCAATCCGAAGAGTATGTTACGATACCGAAAAGCGAATACGAAGACATTAAAAATAGAGTTTCTGCAATCGAGTCTCGTCTCTCCCAAGAGTTTGCTTGTGTAGATAACGAGAAAAATATTAGTTTATCACCACCTTCTGTGAAAAAAGTACAAACCGCGTACGAAAAAACTTTGGAGGAAGCTAGTATAGAAAGTACAGCGAGTACGGATTATTTAGCTAGAAAACTTGGGAAGGAGCTTAAAATCCGAAGATCTGGCGAACATAAAATTATAAGATCGCCCAGTGCCCGGAAGATAGGTAATTTAAGAAGAAGATCGCAGGAGAGAACTATGAGGTAAAGAAAACACAGAATATTTAATTAATTATTTGTTTTCTTCATTTTTGTTCTTAATTTGTAGCAAACGCGTGAAACGGACTGCTTCATGGCACATTTCTCACGGATCGTGCTCGCACAAACAAGTATCATCCGATCAAACGTTCAATAATGGTTATCATCAGAATGGTGAAACCTTTTTGGGTTATAATAATGTCGAGGCTTATTTAAGACCTGTGTCCACTTCACTTTGGCAAGAAGAAAAGAATAATGTTCTTTTAAATAATAGACACGAAGAATTCAATTATTTAAATTCTTACGCGACAAAGCATGGCCTAACGTCAACGATTGAAACTGGAGTGGTTCAACCAATAAAGAATAGAGCACACACACACGTCCGGCGAGTGTCGTCTTTCCATGGTAACGAACTGATGAACGCTGCAAATATTTTTTCCAACGAGAAGATTGAGAAATTGAAAAAAACGAATAGTCAGCAAAATATTACTTGTAATACACCTACTATCGCCGCGTTATCTCCCAAACTTGAGTGGAAGAAATCAACCACATCGTGGAAAGATGCTGAAGGATATTTTAAATTGACAAATCAAACGAACACCCCTGTGAATCAAACTGGTCGCGCGTCGATCGCTAAATTAAGAACTCAGAATGCTGGAATGGTATTGGCTAAAGCAAAACTATTCGACGAATGTACAGCCAAAATGTTCAGTCATAATGTGTTAGTGCATGAAAAAGATAAATGGCTTACCGCAAATGATGATCAATTTACAAATGATTGTTCAGAAGAGAATGATTCATGCCAGAAGTCAAATAAAAATGTAAAAAGTAGAAGTGCAGAGAGTAACGGTAAAATTTATTATTCTTCGGAAGATTCCGAAATCAAGGTTAATACGCCAAGTATAATAACGAATACGCAAGTTGATGTTGTATCGAATGTAGTACATCACCAGAAAGAAAATGTAAAAACACCACCCGTGGTGAAACACGGATCTTCTAATGCGATCTTGGATGAGTCTAGATTAAATTCGTATAGACCTAGTGGCAGTTCGCTTTGTAGAACTCCACATATTAAAAAACCATTAGGCATGAAGACACCAAAAAGTGCTAAAACATTAGTAAGAAAACCTTTGGTAGATTCTCGCAGAACACCGTTAAAGGCTGTTAGTCAAGTAGGAACTCCGAAATATCAAAGTCCCAAAGGTATCTTGAAGACACCGAGAACTATTAGGCATATCTAATCTGTCAATGTACAAATCTATTAACATGCCGAGTGCCGAAAATCAACTACCTAAAATTCCCACAAAATCAAAATAATATAATTAACGAAACTGAAATTAGAAATATTTCAACTCTTTTGCATTCTGAATATCGTAGTAAAATTCACCTCCTTGGAAAATATCAATAAAAAAACGAATTTTGTAATGCAGTCGAAAATCAGTGTCATCTGTATGTAATCGACGCGGCGCTCAACGTGTTAAAAGCGTGTTCAAGTTAATATGCTGTCAAGCTTTTTTACAGATGCGATTTACACCATAGTATAAACCATGATTCTAAAGTACATACAATAAAAGCAATTATAATGTAAACTTAAATACAAAAACAATAATTTTTTTTACTATATTTACGGTGTAAGTGGATTTAGATGTATCACAGTATTTTTTTTTAGTATAAACAAGCTATATACATATATTAAAGATCGATACTATTTTCAGTATGTTAATTAATAACTTGAGCATGTGATATTGTATAGTCGAATAATCGAATCATTTTACTGCAATATCCACATAGGAGAAGTTTTAAAAATTTTCAAACCCCATAAAACGAATTTTCCGTGCCTTTAATTACATCAAGGAGTTTCAATCGGAAGGAATTTCTTATACACATTTTGTATTGCACTTTATATATAAGTATAATATGTCCAATCAAGTACAAAAATTATATCTTGTTGATAATTCGAATATCACTATCTAGTAGTATGTATGTACTCCTAAATTTGTGCCATGTATCTCAACTGTGTTCATGTAACAATGTTCCGCGAGATTTTAATAAAATCATCAATATATAAAATAAATATATATCTTTCATTGTTTAGCCAGTTCTTTCCTGTTGATTTAAATAAAATTACAAATATCATGAAGTCGAGTGTGCGAATATTTTTCGGCATTCACTGTATTCGAGCAACATCCACGTGATTCGAATAGTTCGAACGTAGGTACATAATAGATGATTGTCTTACGTTGCACCAATAGTATCGCACCGTCTGTCCCATTTGGTTCTGTCAAGTAGAAATACTACACGTTCGTCGCGCCCAAAATACATAATACGATCAAGTACGATTATGATAGAGAGATATTTATTATTCTTAGCAAGTTGCAGCTGCGTTTTATAGAAAGAAACAAGAACGTCGGTCGAAGTGTTTGATTTCAACAAATGTTTCTCGTCAAACGTACATAAAATGTAGCGATCGCTTTTAAATGTATGTAGGTACATGTATATTCGTTGATAGTTACATCTACTGTCGTTTTGATAGCAGCGCCTCGTTCACTCTATGTATGCACATACATGCGTACATGAAACATACGTAGGTACATGCATACATAGATGCCATGCATACATAGTCGAATCCAGTGGAATCGTCGAATCTTACAGCTGTTGATAGGTAAATTATTGTTGCGAAAAGTGTCAGTGAATATCTCGTCCAGAAACATAATCGCTAGTCTGGTACAATAAACGGCGTAAAAATGAGAGAGGCTGGAATAATGCTAGTAAGCACAGCGCTAACATGCGCTGTAATTGGAAATGCTTATTATCAAAGAAAACAATTTTATCCGACAGTAGTTCACATAACCAAATCTAATCCTAGTATGACTGTAAGTTTCAATGTTTCTCTCCTACTTTTAATTATTTTTCCATAATTTCACTACCTTTCGATCGAAAATGATAGCCTATGTGTCCTACTTGCTTTGGTTGTTTTGTGTGCTTTATTGTTATTTTTTATACAGGTGATCTATGGTCAAGGATTAATTCTAGTATTTATGATAAATGCTTTTCTGCGAAAAATATTTTTTGGTACACTACGTACTACCGAACTAGAGGTAAAGAAAACTGTGCGCTCGAATGCAAATGCTACGTATATTGTTAGCTTTCTTGCTAGCAGAATATATTGCGATAACGATAACTATGTATTTGCAGCATCTGTTGGAAAGAGTATGGTACGCGGTAACTGAAACGTGTCTGGCATTTACTGTATTTAGAGACGACTTTAGTCCAAAATTTATAGCACTATTTACACTTCTCTTGTTTTTAAAATCATTTCATTGGTTGGCAGAAGATCGTGTAGACTATGTAAGTACAATGTCGAAACATTTATATCGTTCGCGTACTCAGGTTTGATCGGTGTCTTATCGTTTAAATTTCCAGATGGAAAGAAGTCCGGTGATAACATGGTTGTTTCATCTTAGAGTTGGTACTTTATTAACTCTTCTATTTGCCATAAATTTAACTATGATTCATTACGCGTACAATACAACAGCCACAAAAGGACCTTCTGTACAATTAGTATTCGGCTTTGAATATGCAATTCTGTTGACCGTTGTGTTTAACATCGAAATCAAGTATATACTACATTCGATAGACCTCCAAAGTGAAAACCCATGGGACAATAAGCAAGTGTTTTTGTTGTACACAGAATTAATAATTGGACTGTTGAAGGTGATATAATCTTTTTCTTATCGATCGTATCTTGATCGTACATTCGATGTTCAACGCGACTGTGTTTCATTTTAGGTCATTTTGTATGTCGCTTTCGTCACTCTGATGATAAAATTGTATACTTTACCTTTGTTTGCGCTTCGACCAATGTATTACACGATGAGAGACTTTAAAAAAGCATTCCACGACATTGTGATGTCTCGTAGAGCCATTAGAAACATGAATACATTGTATCCAGATGCAACGCCAGAGGAATTAGCCGCTGCTGACAATGTATGCATAATCTGCAGGTACTTACATATATTTCCTTTTGTAGTACAATTTTTGTGGTACGATGCAAACTCGTACGTATGTATGTGAATTCTAGGGAAGAGATGGTTGCAGCAAGTAAAAAGCTACCGTGCAATCATATTTTTCACACTGCTTGTCTTCGATCTTGGTTTCAACGTCAGCAAACGTGTCCTACTTGCCGTTTGAACATTTTAAGACCTGTGAACAATCATCAAGGAGCCAGGCAGCAGAATCAACCCCAAGCAGGACCACAAGTGCCTCTAGCTCCTCAAGCACCAGAATTTAATCCAATCGGTATGTGTCTTGTTGTAAATAACAAGAACTCGTTGGCTCCTACTACTGTAGATCAGCTTCTTCTTTTTCTCCTCGAAAAGATGTTCTGTTAAATGTAGTTCAAGGTTTACCGGCATTTTGGGCTGGATTACAAGCTCCAGGTGCGGCACCGCAACAACAAGTGCCACCAGCAACGCCGCAACAGCAAGGTCAAAACACTACTACGAACACGCCGACCGCATCGTTTCAAAATCTAACGGCTGGTGGTGTGCCACTGGTTCCACCACCATTTCCTACCATGGTACCATTACCACCTTTCCCTACTCCGCCTCCCAATTTAACAGAATTGAGCGAAGAGGAGCTTAGAGCGATGGAAGGGAATTTACGTCAAGCAGTAGAGGCAAGAATACAGACGTTACAGCGAATCCAGCTCTTGTTGGATGCTGCCAGTGCTATGATGAATCAGTATCAAACAGCAGCAGCTACTGCTAAGTTTGTATATGTTTTACGTTCATCGATACGAGGCTATGTCAATAATTTCATTGGAATAACTATTTGAATTTACAGTATTCCAGTGCCAACTGCTACAAGTAATGCGAATGTTACATCGGATGTTTCTTCATTAGCACAACCGGGAACATCTAAAGACACAAGTTCCGAAGCCGAGAACATTAGTTCTGAAATGAAGACCGACACAAACGTTCCTACCACAACAACTTCCAGTGAAAGTACGAATACATTATCGGGCACAAATAGTAACGATGTAACTCCGGAATCATCGATTAGGAATGAAGCCGAATCGAGTGAACAAGAAATGTTGCGACGTCGTAGGCTACAAAAATTTTCAACTCCGCTCGCGACAGAGTAAACGATCGTAAAGTTATGTGACAACTTGTGTGATATAATAATTTGTACCTCGATTAATGACTCAAATGGTTTGCAGATATAATTAATATTTGAAGAATGCGTAACGGTTATATGGTTTAAGAGTTTGAAATTCAAGTTCAAAGTTGACTTTACGATATCAATAATGTCAAGTGTATCGAATAAATTTATATTCTTTTTATACATACGCATACATACGTACATATTTACATGTTTAAATAGCGTGTGCGCGCGTGTGTGTATTATTAGACATTACACAACGATACAGGTCCCCTTTGATTGAAACTGCTTCTGCATTATGTGTTAAATAGTTATTAAAATTCAGCACCATTAATCCCATGATATTTATATTGAAAGTCGAACCTGAAGCCTGTATTGGATCTTAATTGCTTTACGTTTAGATCACCATAAAAACTTTATGATTTATTACATTTTATAAGGAGTGCTTGCGTATGTACATGAGAGTGGTAACATCAGTCGATATAACGGGACTGAATAAACAATTGTCTTAGGTAATTACCATTGTATGTAATAAATTTATTTCTTTAATAATGTTTTATTTTCACTATATATGTAGATTTGTACACGTTTATATGATCCATTATAGGTCGAATTGTTTGCAATAATTTTAAACAATAAATTTAAAGAAAACGATAGAATGTAATAAGTACAAAATAAATTATATCATGCACTCGTCTCAAGATAAATAGGAGCTCATTTCTTGAGACATAAAATTGCATTGTACGTTTATTTACAGAGCAACAGAATATGTGACAGATACTTGTAAATTCTTGAAAATAAGTTTGAAGTCGTTAAGGTGCACGTACAAATATTAATAAGTTATTTTAATGCAAAAATGAAAATAGTTTTCCGTCTTCTATCTATATAATACTATAACAATTTTATGATATAAGCACATTGAAAATATGCAACGAAAGCTTAAAATTAACACGATAACACTTATATTGTTTACATTTATTTCAATGAATGATAGAAGAAATGTAAGAAACTATTACATAATATTAATCACTGTCTTTTAACGATTAGTTGAAAGATAATTATAACCTTATTTTTCTACATCGGAGATGTACCAATTCGTTGTTACCGTACTCATACAGAAAGTAGATCCGATCTCATAATTCATTTTCCATTATTTCTTTGTACAGTCAGAAATTTCTTCCGTTTTACGTACGTAAATAAATTTTAACTTGTGCAAACAAACGAATAATACATGCACAAACAAGAGTTTTACCAAACGATACAAATGTAATTAGTAACATGTCATTTTTGTTAACCTTTTTACCGTGTGTCATTGAATTCTTTCCTAACTATAGCTTTCTTTATCGTTCATTTATTATTGCTACATTATTTTCGGCTATTTATTGTTTCTGTTTGATCGATTCGTTTCATTTAGCCTGAGCTAACATCAGCCAATGCCCAAACAACACCAAGCATACATAAGGTAATACATGCATATGTATATTGTATGCGTTGTACAATTGCATATGCATATATGCATCTATGCACGTATGTATGTATGTATATAGTATGCAATATTTTATTATTTATTTTACATTGCAAACTGTGTAATGTTGCATAAAAGCCGTAAATATGTCAAAATAGTGTAGTGTGTTCATATTTAAATTACGTACATCAAATCACGTAGATTTTACGTACATTCGTAGTAATATGAAAATTCATATCGTACATATTAATTTACGTTTTTTATACGAACACGAACATCATTCTAAACTCATACTACACGCAGATTATAAATCTACTTTGAAATAACATAAATGAGATCATATAAACGATTTTAATGTTTGCAAGAAAAAAGTATTCATTCGACTTTGACATTTTTTATGATGCTGATAGAATAAAAAAATTTCGAAGCAAAAGCGGCCCGGTACACCGCACACACGGTCTATTATTTTGAATTGCATATACATTGTGCGTTTATATTCGATACACATACGTATGTATTGTACTGTACACTCAAGTTCCCTAAACGAAAAAATGTTGTCCCAAACACTGAATAAATTACAAGTACAATGAATTTTCTTATATAAGATAATGTGTAACATAGGATTGTAAACGCGATAACGAATAAGTTATACATATATACATACATACAATGTAGTTAAATTAAATTTTGGTTAGTACATGCAGATCACGCAAACGTGCAAAAATTAATTGCGAAACCATTTTAGACACGCGACTTTTTTCCGTAATAGAGTTTCTAAAATTGATTGTAAAGGCTCTTTCGTTGCAAATTAGGAAACAAATTAATAATTTCTCGTACGTATAGTATTCCAGAATTCGAGATATTGCACTGCGACATGTGATAATTTTTGTAGAAGTTTGGCTGGTCGATGATCTTGACCGTTCAACCTTTTTGTAACTAATAATTCTATTAAAGACGAGCAGGTCAGAATGGAGGCATGGAATATCGTATTACGCGCTGAAATCCTTGAAGCACACGAGGCGAACCCCGTAGCGCGTTGTTGTGATCTAACATGGCGGAGTGTAGTGTTGTGGCTGTTCAGTGTCTATGTCAATTTTAGAGTGATTCTGCTTAATAAGAACGAAGGAACTGCCATGGTCGGCGATCACGGTACGACGGAGGATCGAGCGAAATAGACGTGCGTGTGCGAGCGTTCGTATCACGAGAGAATCGGCGTTAATTTCGATCTTGTTTGTCGCGGGAACCGTACACAGCGGCAAGAAGAGCACGCAGAGTGCTGTCTTCCCAGCAACGAAATTTTCCCCGGAGCTTTTGGAAGAACGAGTTCCTCCGCAGGATCGATTCCATGCATATTTGTGGTCCCTTAGGTTCGCGTAACCACGACACGTGAACGCGAGAACGCGCGCGACGTGAAGTTTTCCCGCGCGTCCCGTGAGCTTTTCTTGGCGCAAGAATCAAGGCTTATGCAACGAAGAGCGCATAAACATCTATTACGGTAAACAATCCCGTTCCGTCAACCGAGGTTCAAGGCATGCGAGCTACGCGACGGCTGATCGTTGTTCGTACGGTATTATTTTGATTGATAGCGAGGAGGCTTTATCGATATCGTTTAAAACGGAAGTATTTTACGATTAATAAAAAAAATATTTTATATATTGTATATTATATATATATATATATATGTATGTATATATATAAATATAAATATATATAAATATATATATAAATATATATATATATATATATAT